GTACGGTGCTGGGAGCTGGGGGGATTTGGCTCTGGTGCCTTTCTCTGGCCTGGTCTACACTACGGGATTAATTCGGATTTAGCAGCGTTAATCCGAATTAACCCTTCACCCGTCCACACTACAGAGCCAGTTAATTCGAATTAAAGGGCCCTTTAAATCGATTTCTGTACTCCACCTCGACGAACGGAGTAGAGCCTAAATCGATTTTGTTAATTCGAATTAGGGTTAGTGTGGCCGCACACCACCGAATTACTGTGTTTAAGTTAATGGGGTAGTGTGGCCGCACACCACCGAATTAATGTGGTTTAAAACCGAATTAAGGTGCTTAGTGTGGCCGCGCACAATCGAATTTATACAACCTGTTTCCCAAATTCGAATTATCTAAATTCGGATTAATCCTGTAGTGTAGACATACCCTGTGTGTTTGGAGGGACGTCAGGGACGCTAAGATCGGAATCGCCTGCCCTGCTGGTATTTCTTATTGCAAGCTCCATTTCCGTCAGCCGCTGACCCCTCTGTGCGGAGAGCCTTTGAAATGGACATGGGTCCTCTGCAGAGTTAAAGTGATGAGCACGACCAGCCTCGCAGAGCCCCGGCACTTCGCACAGGCGGCCCCTCGGGATTCGGGAGCCTGTCCGAGCCCACCCTGCCTTGTACGCTTGTGTAGCGGTTGCTCTCTTGGCTCAGGGCAGTGCAGGAGCTTCGGGAAATCTCTCCCTTGCTCAGTCACACTAAAGATCGGCCACGAAAAGCCCGAGTCAGCCCTCACTGTTTAAACCGCCAGAGACGGGATCCGGGTGTTTCCGAACACGCAACCCGCGGTGGAGCCGAGTCCGTTTGAGAGGTTCCCAGCTTAGAGGTAACACCAGCTGCTCTAACGAGCTCTGGAAGAGGAAACGCTGCGAGCAGGCAGGTGTGAGGAAGCGGCGTGCAAAGCTCGGAGGGAACTAGCTGGAGCCTGTTCCCCTGTGATAACGCTGGGGGAGGGGGGGAGCGCGGAGCGTCCCAAAGGCACAGCTGTGAGCGATCGCAGCGACAGCGCTGGGAACAGGAAAACGCCAAGAGCCAGGGAGATCGGGGCCGGGCTCGAGCACCCCGGCAGTCCTGGGGCGGGGCGGGGCGGACAGGGACAGCCCGAGTAACCCCGCCCAGCTGAAGCAGCACAGGCTGGCCTGTATGTGTTCAGGGCTACCAAACAGAACAAGCCCCAGTCTGGGAGCTATGGATGAGAACTAAATAGCTGGATGAGCGCCTGGCATGATTCAATCACGATTGTAGCGAACCTGTTTTCTGATCGCGACGCTGCCCGGTCATGTCATGCCAAGGACAGGGTGTGTGTCATTATAGCTTGTGTGTTTAATCACAATAGTTTGGTTGTAATACAGCAAACAAAGGGCGGGGGGGGGGCGCACAGGGAGCCTTTTAAGCCTACTTCTATCTGGGGTTGGACAATAAATAAAACCAAAAAAAGTTTCTTGTTAAGTATGAATTACAGGGAGAAAGGAAAGATCGGGAAAAACAGCATCCTAAGGGCAGCTGCCGCTTTATTTGCGCACACAGTGGAGCCAGAACCTGTAAGTTCTGAGCCCACCACTCCCATGCCAGCTCAGAAGGACTCTTAAGAAATTAGGTCCATGTGGCCTGATATTCAGCTGTGTTCAGCATATGCAGCTCTCCCGAAATGCGGGTGCTGAGTAAAATCTCTTCTGAAGGCCCTGCTGCCCTCCTACTTGGATGTAATAGGCCAGGTTGCAACTTTAGTCGAATCTCCGCGCTTTGGTAGGATTAAGAAAGATTCTTACACTTTTCCTGTAAAGTTTTGTGCTTTAATGGCCCCGTGCATTTATAGATAGTATAACTCTGTGATACAGATCAGTACAAATTTATAATCTGCTGCAGCTCCCTGTGTTAAGACATCAGTAGCAGATGATGAGGGTGGAATTGGAAACAAAGAAAACCAGCCTCACGCACATACCATTGCATTTTCAGTGAAACTTGCCTTTGGGGAAAGAAGGAGGCATTTATGTTTTTCCTTTTGGAAAGAAAGATCAATAATCTAATTATAGGAAGAAGAAACAAACACGCTGCTCATTAGATCCGAGTTTATTGAGTCAAATCCTTCAGTTCTGGCGGGTTTCGTCGGGGGCTCAGTGAGTTCAGGAGTTTAGCCCCTGTGAAGCACTGTAAGAACAGGGCCTTGGTATCAAGGTTCAGGGTTAGAGAGGGAATATCTTCAGTTTGCTCTCCCAATTAGGAACAATCTGAATATATGGTGTCCCGGTGTCTTTTGTAGCCGATTCATTTGTGCTTTGTGCTTGCTGTATGTTTTTCCACTGGCTTATCTAAACGCAGAAAATGCTTGAAACCTCAGTGATAGGTTTTCTAATAACGGTTTATTATACTTATAGTGATTAAACCTCTGGGCGGTTCTTAGCATTATCTGCCCCTTGCATCACAAAGGCGAAGCTATGCTTTATAAATAACGTGTAAATTGGGGTAGTTTGAAGTTGATGACGTGTGAGCTTTCTGGTCCTGTATTGCTTTGATCGCTAAACTTCCAGGCGTTGGTGAAAGATTGGCTACATTTCTGGCTAGACAACTGGCGCCAAATTCAAGCTGAGAGGAGTGCAGGGTTGAATTTGTACCCGTTAAACCAGAAACAGCAATAATACAGCCAGGAGCTGGGAAATCCAAGCCAACCCAGACTTTTGACGTCTCCGTACGACCTTTACAATGGACTTGGATTTCTTCCGCTCATTCGTTTACAGTAGAAGGGATTCTGATATTGATAGGGAACATAGACGGGATTCTATAGGAAATCGATCGTGACTTTTATTTACCATGTAGTAACGTTTTGTGTTACATGATTGCTAGACTATCCCTCCTTCTCCCCTTCAGCAGGAGCCCCCGACCTGAAATATACAGTTTACAGTGTTGTACCTTATTGGGCTCAGGATATTGGACAGACAAGGTGGGTGAGGTCATACCTTTTATTGGTCCAGCTAGAGAAATTGGTCTAGTAAAAGCTATATGACCTCACCCACCTGGCCTCTGAAATATATATACTACCACTCTAAAGAGGACATTTCAAAGGATTACCTGGTAGCTTAATTTAGATCTGCATTTTGAAAGGCAAGGATTGATGTAAAAATCCCTGTTATAACAGAGTTCTGAATTGTGTTAATCGGTGATAAATGTTCTCATACATAGACCGGAACCTCGCATGATAAAGATACTAAAACCCTGCTCCATTCACGTCCCTGCCCTAAGGAACTCCCTGATTATGGCTGTAATGAGATGCGGTTGCTAATGCTTGGAGATCTATGCAATTTAAAATATGTCGTATGTGCCTTTTGTGTTAGTCCATCGACGTTTGGAAGGGACATGATTGAACCCCATCGTTCTGCCATTATCTGGCGTGTAACTGTCTTTAAAAGCCCTTTTGCTGGTCTTTTGTTTGGTGTGGCTGGAATTGTCCATGCCGCCACTCCCCCCCTCCAGGGGAGAATCAGGAGGGGCCCAGGGCAGGTTTGCATTTCAAGGGGGCAGAAACAATCCTGCAGACTCTCTGGAGCCAGGGGCTGCAGACATTTGCCAGACGTGTGAACTCTACTCCTAACTGACAGCTGTTATCTCTTTTCTCTTCGTACTTTGATGTGGATTCACACTTGCAAACGAGCCCGCGAGGGAGGGCCCCCTATAAATAAATGGCGGCCCCCACCCACCCGCTTGCCCTCCCCTCCAGCCGAGCAGCACTAGCTAAGCAGAGGGAGCTACAGGCAGCTCCTGTGATCCCCGCTCCTTCAGCTCCCACTCGCCATGGGTGAGGCCGCCTTCTCTGTGGACTTCCCGGCCCAGCCTGACAGCGAGGAGCAAAGGCCAGCGGGCAGGCCGCATATCTGCTGCGTTCCTCCTCCGCGGGCCCCCACCTCCTTCAGCAGGAGTCCCCGCCTGGCCAAAGCAAAGCCCAAAGGGGGAGCCGCGGCCGGGGGCCAGTTCCATCCCAGCAACCTGCGCGGAGAGGAGCTGGAAGACACCAAGCCCCAGGAGCTGCCCGTCGGCCGAGCAAGTCCCGGTAAGTCAGAGGCGAGCCCGGGGGAGGTGGTGGCTGGTGCTGGAGAGGGAAGCAGGGCCCTGATCCGGCCGCGAGGAAGAGCCTCCAGCTGGCCGGGGGGAGCGGCAGCGGGTGCTGTGGGGCGGCGGAAAGGCAGGTGCTGTTGCCCTGGCTGGGGGAGCAGCGGAGGGCTGGCCAGGGGGCCGCGGGGCCCGATCGGGCTGTTTCCCCCCGTTGGGCACCGGAGCCCTAACCCACCCTCCGCCTTTGCAGCTCCCGAGGGCGGCTGGGTGAGCGCGGACGAGTCCTCCGGGTACGAGAGCGAAAGCGCCGCCTCCTGCATCCCCTCGTCGCCGGGGGAGGACGAGCCCCAGCAGCGCAGGGCGCGGACCGCCTTCACCCCGGAGCAGGTCGGCAAGCTGGAGAAAACCTTCAAGCGGCAGAAGTACGTGGGGGCGGCGGAGAGGAGGAAGCTGGCGGCCGCTCTTCAGCTGTCCGAGATTCAGGTCAGTGCCCGGCCCCAGTCCCCGCGGCACAGAGATAGCCGGGCTGGGGGGCTTTGGGCCGCTCGCTGCTCCCCCTAGGTGCAGGGGTGTGTGTAGAGACGCTGAGCGCCTCCAGCTGCCCCTTGGCTTCAGTCAGGCCCCGCGAGTGCATCAGTTTCCCCGAACGGAACTCGCTTGAGCAAAGAGAGCGCTGAGCGCTGATTCACACTTGTCCACGCTCTGCGTATGTAAAGCCGCACGGGTGCTGAGCATAACGATAACTGGTTATGATTTCTTGCTGATGGGGACTGGTATTCAAATTGCTTCCTACCGACTATAAATGCAGGGCACGGCATGTTGTCCATTAAAGAAAGTGCAGGATTTACTAGAAGCCTAATCTCATGTTTCCACGGGTCCGAAGAGTATCTTTAAAACTCTTAAAGGGTATGTCTACACTACGAGGGTAATTCGATTTTACTTAAATCGAATATGTGGAATCGATATTGCAAAGTCGAACGTGTGTGTCCACACTAAGGACACACTAAGGACAGTAATTCGACTTTGTGAGTCCACACTAACGGGGCGAGCGTCGATATTGGAAGCGGTGCACTGTGGGCAGCTATCCCACAGTTCCCGCAGTCCCCGCTGCCCATCGGAATTCTGGGTCGAGCCGCCAATGCCTTCTGGGTAAAAAAAATTTGTCGTCATCCGTCCGTCACTAACGCCCTCCCTCCCTCCATGAAAGCGCCGGCGGGAAATCAGTTCGCGCACTTTTCTGGTCAGTGAGAGCGCGGACGCCACAGCACTGCGATCATGGATCACGCTGCGACCATCGCTGCACTTGTGGCCGTTCTCAACACCTCGCAGCTTATCATACACCTTTCCCTGAGGCAGATGCAGAGAAATCGGGCGAGGAGGCTACGGCACCGCCGTGAGAGCCTGAAGTCGGAGAGTGGCACAGAGCTGTCAGAAACCACGAGCCCCAGCGCCCAGGACATGACGTTGGCAATGGGGCATGTGGATTTTGTTGAACGGCGATTCTGGGCCCGGGAAACAAGCACGGACTGGTGGGACCGTATAGTGCTTCAGGTCTGGGATGAATCCCAGTGGCTGCGAAACTTTCGCATGCGGAAGGGGACTTTCCTCGAACTTTGTGAGTTGCTGTCCCCTGCCCTGAAGCGCAAGGACACCCGCATGCGAGCAGCCCTCACTGTCCAGAAGCGAGTGGCCATAGCCCTCTGGAAGCTTGCAACGCCGGACAGCTACCGGTCAGTCGCGAACCACTTTGGTGTGGGCAAATCTACCGTGGGGGTTGTTGTCATGCAAGTAGCCAAGGCAATCGTCAAGGTACTGCTCCCAAAGGTAGTGACCCTGGGAAACGCGCAGGTCATCATAGATGGCTTTGCCGCGATGGGATTCCCAAACTGCGGTGGGGCTATCGATGGGACTCACATCCCTATCCTGGGACCGGACCACCAGGCCAGCCAGTACATCAATAGAAAGGGCTACTTTTCAATGGTGCTGCAAGCACTAGTGGACCATCGGGGACGGTTTACAAACATCTACGTCGGATGGCCGGGCAAGGTTCATGACGCTCGCGTGTTCAGGAACTCTGGTCTGTTTAGACGGCTGCAGGAAGGTATTTACTTCCCAGACCACAAAATAAGTCTTGGGGATGTGGAGATGCCTACAGTCATCCTCGGGGACCCAGCCTACCCGCTAATGCCCTGGCTCATGAAGCCCTATACTGGCGCCCTGGACACAGAAAAAGAACTCTTCAACTACCGGCTGAGCAAGTGCAGAATGGTGGTGGAGTGTGCTTTTGGCCGTCTCAAAGGGAGATGGAGAAGCTTACTCACTCGCTGTGATCTCAGCGAAACCAATATCCCCATCGTTATTGCAGCTTGCTGTGTGCTCCACAACCTGTGTGAGAGCAAGGGGGAGACCTTTATGGCGGGGTGGGAGCTAGAGGCAAATAGCCTGGCTGCTGATTACGTCCAGCCAGACAGCCGGGCCATTAGAAGATCCCAGCGGGACGCCCTGTGCATCCGGGAGGCTTTGAAAGCTAGGTTCCTGAGTGAGCAGGGCAACCAGTGACTTTTCAGTTTGTGGACAGAAAAGCTGAACCTGCCCCCGTTTCTTTACCCAGTTCATTTTGACTATCCTCTCCAGTTACATACAACCTTCACCCCCTTCCCCTTCCCAAAAAATAAAATCATTTCGATTTTTTAATGAACACCGTTGTCTGTATTGCTGTTTTCGCGGGAATATTTTAAACCGGGGACGCAGACTGTGGCGGGGGGCGGGTTTAGTGTTCTGATGCAAATGATGCTTCTAAACTCCCGGAATGACAGGCTCCGCACTGGTGGACTGGTTATTTCAATGGAGCCTGCCAGCCCTCCTGGGGGGGGACTGTGTGTATGTGTCGGCTATGTGACTTTCTGGCAGGGGGGGTAGGGTTACAGATCCCCTGCTGCGTGGATCGGTGAGCAAGGATAAGGACCGCTGCATAAGATCTGTAACCGCCCTCCCCCACCACAAAGTAACAGAGCAAAACCCCCCCCCAGAACATGAAAACCACCTCCAAGACTGACCAGGGTAACCAGTGACCGCACTGTGTATGTGTCCTGATGCTGGACCTGACACCGCCTCTGTACCCTGCTAAAGGTCACTGTCCTGTCCAATTACCAAGCCCCATCCCCCCCTTCAGACAGACTCTCCCTCAAAAGAACCTGATTGAAACAGTAATGAACAGAAACATATTTTTTATTAACAACCAGACAGGAAACTGGGGGGTGAAAGTCGGACGGGGGCTTGGGTGAGGCGGGCAGGAAAGGACTTTTCAAATTTTGGGCAATGACAGCCTTCTGGTGCTTGAGCAGTCTGCAGGGGTGGAGTGAGAGTTTTCACGGACTCTGCCACCCCTCCTTCTTTGGACTTTGGGAGAGGGGGGTATGGGACTTGGTGGCGGGGGACTGCGGTTCCTGATAGACTGCAGCGGGGCTCTGTCCTCCTGCCTCCGTTCCTGCAGAACATCAACAAGGCGCCGGAGCGTGTCCGTTTGCTCCCTCAGAAGTCCAAGCAGCGTTTGAGTCGCCTGCTGGTCTTCCTGCCCGCCACCTCTCCTCACGTTCCATGTGTGTCCGGTGCATTTGTGACAAATTCTCCCTCCACTAGTTCTGCTGTGCTGCCTGGGCTCAGGAGCAGCCCATTAGTTCTGAGAACATGTCCTCTCGCGTCTTCTTCTTTCTCCGCCTAATGTGCGCTAGCCTCTGGGAGTGTGATGCCAAGCTGGGTTAGGAGACAGTTGCAGATGTGGCTGTGGGAATGAGGAAAAGGCAGTGAATTCCTCCGAAAGATAAATGTGGTTGTGAATCAAGAACATAGTTTTTCTCTGTGAACAAGACCATGAACCACACCTATCACATGCGCACTCCGGACAAGGTCGAATTTTCGAACCTCGCCTTCACTGCCTGGGCTTTTGCACTGCCGATCTGGGAAGCGGGGCAGGACACGG